TACCGTTACCTTACCTTACCGTTACCGTTACTTACGTTACCTTACCTTACTTACTTACGTTACGTTACGTTACGTACGTACGTACGTACTACGTACTACTTCTACTACTACTCTCTCTCTCTCTCTCTCTCTCTCTCTCTCTCTCTCTCTCTCTCTCTCTCTCTCTCTCTCTCTTTCTCTCTCTCTCTAATCGCCTACCCCTCAATAATTAGTTCTATGTTGTTCACCATTATAGGCTACAAAAAAGAAGCTCATAGTGAGGGTGGCAATGGACCTAACCAGACCCAGGACCCCGCGGGATAGACCCGGGACCCGACAAGTACGGGTCCAGCCGGATCCGCCCAATACTAGTGATGTGTTTGACTCTGGTGGTTTGAAGAATTCTTTGTGAAATCTTATTTTTGCACTTAACACTCGGTTAAAGTGTCAACTGACAGTTTCTTCCGAGTGACCAAACTCATTATCAATCTTTCGGTTCTTCAGGTTGTAGTTTAGAATGTGCATGAATATCATCAGTTGTTCATCAAATGAGACCTCCATTATATCGGTGATATTTCCTCATTCTAAAACAATATTTCTTAAAATAGAGTAAACTCCTTTACTCATTCTAATCTTGTTTCGACAATCCACCTCAGTGGAGTTTTTGAATTATGCTTTTGTGCAAATAATTTATGCACATAGGTCGCTAGAACAATACCTAAAACAGCGAGAGTACCACCAGCTGCAGTAAGTGATATGACTATTTTTTAGCTTTTCTTCATGCTCGAGATTTTGATTGTTTTTCACCATGGTAAAACCTTGATCACTATATAAGACCTAAAGAAAATGCCAATTGAGACCAACATTCATCAAGGAGACTTCCCTGCATAACTAAGAAATTGAAGTCAAGATAACATATGAAAGTGGAAACATATGATGCATCAGTAGAAGAGTTCTACATTAAAATCCAATTTCAAAACGCATAGGAACCAAAAAAAAAAAAACCAGTTATGCATCTCTGTACCATTATGCATCGACTCTTATATTTGTTCTTTCTAGGAGTCTATGATTCATGGGCATCAACCGATCATTTTTTAGTCACGGATCCCAACTCATAACATCAATTTTCTACTACATAATTAGTTCATAAAATTGTCCATATGTGATTATCGTTTTATTAGTTATTTTAATTCAATCACAATGATTGTCTTCAACAATTTATGAATTTTGGTGACAATTTCCATCAACAAATAATCAAGAAGTTAGATGAATTCATGACATAGTTGTTGGTTTTCTGGTGCATCAGAAGTAGTAGCACAACAAAACGATTCAGTAAGTAAAAAATTATGCTCAAATGACAATAATATAACACCAAAAAGGGCGTGTATATGTATAATATATAAATGGTACACATCCTCAAAAAAAAGCATAAAAAGAACTCATACATGCGGATCAACAATACAGTTACTAAGTCTATTATCAACAAGTTCCAATAACGTTTTTTTTATTGGGTTTATCCCATCTAAATGATACCGTTCAATGCATTATTGGGGATGGCCAGCTTGTGAATTTTTGGACAAATCCTGGCTATCAGGGCTATTTATATGGGATTCCTATAGGAGTATTGTACATGAGGATTTAGGGGATTTCATTGGACAGAAAGTCTCTGGTAACATAGAAGGTTCACCTCAATCTTGGGTTCTTCCTTAACCCCCATCAGTTTCTCCTGTCAGTTTATGGAGTGAGGTGGAGAACTACATTATACCCTTACAGCCCAAAAAGGATTTCTTAGTATGGATGCATTTTGCTAGTGATTTGTTTTCAATTAAATATGCTTGAGATTTTATTTGAGATAAAGGATCATCACAACCTATTTTTCAAGCTCTTTGGTCTTCCAAATGTTATCCTAGAGCCAAATAGTTTTCTTGGATGGCTCACAATCGCTTACCCACCGCCTTTCTTTTGAAACGGCGTGGCATGAATCTAGATTTCGTATGCCCTTTCTATAGAAACAATGATGATAGTCTTTATCATCTATTGTTTCTATGTGTATTCTCGCAGGGTGTATAGAGATCAGTCACATGGCAGTGTGGTAAGCGATTCATTCCTAGTATTTCTGCTCCAGTTATGTTCAAAAGCTGGTCACCCTTCAAATTTAAATCGGATGGTCTTCTTAACATTTGGACTTCTATTTTCTTTACAACAACTTGGTTCTAATGGAAGGAGCGAAACAAGGGATTTCAGTCTAGGTCTACAAGAAGAGAACAAATTGTTAAGCGAATTTCGTCACATATTAAGGAGTTGGCAGATGTAAAAAATTGGGTAGATAGAGCAATCATTGATAATTTCATATCACTTGGCGTCAACAGAGACCTAGATCCATTATTCCGGTGGCGCTTTCATTCCTTGAGCCCCAGCATTTCAAGTTAAATATCGATGGCACTTCTCTAAAAACCCAGGTTTGCAGGTGATGGTGATGTTATCAAAGAAAGTAATGGTTTTTTTGTTAACGCCTTTTCTAAGCCATTTGGATATGCCTCTAACAATTATGTAGAGCTTCTTACCTTTGAATAAGGTAATCATCTAGCCATCAAGAGGGATTGCTTTTCTCTCCAAATAGAAAGTGATTCATCCTTGCTTGTGAATGCCATTCATGATCGTTGTCGTGCCTCATGGAGATTGCATACAGTTGCAGCTAATTATCGGAGTAGACTTGCAACTAGTACATGGTCAATTTCTCATATTTTTCGTGAGGCCAATATAGTAGTCGATGCCTTTACTAAGAAGACATCTTTTAGTTCTGGAGCTACTATTTGTCGCTTTCAACCTCTAGATTTTATTTCATTGTTTTACTTGATGATTTGGTGCAACTGCCTTATTATAGGGTTGTAAAATAATGAAATGTCTCTTCTTGTTTTTTTCATTAATGAAAAACTGGTAGGGGGCCTTCTCCCCTACTGACTTACCTAAAAAAAACGCAATAGAACGAAGTATTCCAATGGAAAATACTTAATTGTAAATAAACCTCAAAACCATCATAAAACCGTTTGAATCAACCAAAAGATTTGGCACCTGGTGTTTACTAGCACCAAGATCTGAAAGAACTTACTTTGTCAGCTCAGCAAGAAAATGACGTAGCATCAAGAATCAAATGTTCAAAAAGTTCTTGCTTGAACATGATGAATTAGCAGAAATAAGGGGGCTGAGCAAAACCTTTTGACTATAGAGTAATCAATAAAAAAAATTAAAATAAAAATGCCTCACAAGTATCTAGTAAAAAAGAGCAATATAAATACATTCTAAAACAATTTACAGCAGCATTAGCTAAACAAGATCCCTACAAAACTTTTGAGGGAGAATAATATAGAATCGCAAATCGGGGTTTTGGGGCTAAAAAACCAAAATTTTATGGTGAAATGGTAACTTCCAACAACCATGTGGAAGGTACTTTAATCAGGATCCAAATGCTTTGTTTTGTCCACTTCAATTGGAACCCCAGAGTAGGAAGAACATCGATCTTTAGCTCCCATTATGTGGTTTTAATGGCGGTAAAAATCTATATGGAAAATAACAAGCAAAGCTCTATTCCTGTGCTTTAATGGAGAAAATCCTCAAAAGAAAAACCAAAATTTTTGAGAGCTAATAGCATACTGGTTTTAGATTTTGTTGCCTCTGATCTACACCAATAAGATGCCCTGTGAAAACAACTAGTGATGCTCATGCTTCTCTATCTCTTTAGATGACCAGCTGGAATGAAATTGCCAAGATACTAGAGAAAGAGGGCACAGCTTATGGTAGAAAGTACGAGAGATGCAATTGGGTGAGTAGGGGATTAAGAAGAGAGAGACAAAGAGGAAAGAGAGGGCTTTGACAAGCGCTAGGGAGAAGGGTTCTGTTTTTTTTTTTCGGCGGCTCGTAAAAGGATTACTCATCACACCCCATAATAAATTTCTCAGGTATCCCTCATGTTTCACATTTTTGGGGGAAATCGTATGTAATCTATTTTCATTTCATATCGTTAAAGTGTATCCAAACACATAAATGTCATATTTCTATGTAATAGATTTTCAGGTATCCAAACGACCCATAAAAATTTCACAAGGTTTGACGCCCTAATTATGAAACCTATAAGCAAATAAAAGCAGTAATCACCAGCTCCATTTTGGGGGGTAGGGAAGACCATCAATTTGGAGCTTAGGGGCTTGACTTCATATCCTTGACACACTATGTTATTGGGATACGTTTGCCACAAGTTTGGGGCCGTAGTTCACTTTTCAATCAGCCAGAAAATGTTGATTCTATATTTTCACAAAAAAGGGCAATTTGTCTCCATGCATAAATACAAATCCCAATCTATCTGCACATCCAAATAGCAGCAACAGATTGTTTCTATAGAAATGGGTCACCTAGAGACACATTTCCAAGGAGCCAATGGTCTTCAACTAACTCAACCCTCACTCTCACAATGCTCTCTTGCAAGTACACAGGTCTTTCAAGGGGCATGTTTGGTACGCACAAAAAAAAAATTTCCAAAGTATGTCTATATAAAAGAACTCTCGGTATAGTTAAATGTTGGAGTTTTTTCACATCAAAATTAACTCATCAATTAACAAAATATAAATAAATAAAAAAATAAAAAATAATGATAATAATGATGCGAGTAATCACAAAGAAAAATTCCCGCATCTAATAACAACAGAAAATTCTTTTACTTTTGAAAAAGTTTCCCAATCGCACATAAAAATAATAATAATAATGAAGAGAATGCGGAAGCGCTGTACCGATAAGAGAGTGAGAGACCAGCACACCCCAAGAGGGGAGCAGATTCCAACAAAAGGGGAGGTGAGAGAGAGAGAGTGCGTGTGAGTGCGTCCTCGTGCTCGAATTAGGAATAGCATGGAATTAGGAATAGCATGGCTTTATTCTTAGGAAATCGAGGACCACAAGAGGGGGATCCGGACAGAGCCCAAACCAGAGAGGCATATATATAAGGAGAAACCTCCAGCAAGCTTATTTGGGAGGAGAGAGAGAAAGAGAGAGGCAATGGCGGTTGGGAACAGTAGTAGCAGTAGCAGTAGCTGTAGTCATGGGTTGAGGACGTCATCAAATGGGGTATGGCAGGGGGACAATCCATTAGACTTTGCTCTTCCTCTCCTCATCGTCCAGACCACCCTCGTCCTTCTCGTCTCCCGCTCCCTCGCCTTCCTCATCAAGCCGCTCCGCCAGCCCAGCGTTGTAGCCGAAATCGCCGTACTCTCTCTCTCTCTCTCTCTCTCTCTCTCTCTATACTCGTACGTACGTAACGTACGTACGTACCGTACCGTACCGTACCGTACTCGTACGTCGTCGTACGTCGTCCGCCGTCCGTCCGTCCGTCCG